CATCACTCGCGCACTGGCCGGCACTTACCGGTGCACCGCGGCCAATGTCCAGGGCGAGGCGGTCAAGGACGTGACGCTGACAGTGGAGTGTGAGTGGGGGTGCCCAGGGTGCATCTCTCTGATGCTCAGGGTCTAGGGGTGGCCAGCTTGCAGGGACGAGCAGGAGCAAGGTCTCAGGGATGCCTTTGGGTAGGATTCTGGGGCAGGGACTAGGCTGGTGTTTGGGATTAGGGGAAGACCTTGCATGAGAAAGGGTTGGCGTGTCCATAGGAGTGTGTGCTTCAAGCCATCTAACAATTTTTAGGCTGAAGGTTGGAGCTTTGCAGGAATCAGTAAAAGGTGCCCCTTCATAGCTCATGAAGCCCCAAAACAATGCATGGCTTGACTGGCGTGAAACCCCTTTGGTTCAGCGTCCCTGTGCAGGGAGGGCATAGCCAGCCCAACCCTACTTGGTGGCCGTGGAACAATAAAGAGGGTCTAGGGACATTCAGACGATGCCCAAACCCAACAACACTCCCCTTTCCAGACGCGCCAGCGCTGGACAGTGTGAGCTGCCCAGAGCGTATTACATGGCTGGAAGGAACAGAGGCCTCGCTGAGCTGTGTGGCACAGGGGGTGCCGCCACCCACCGTGAGCTGTGTGCGCTCTGGGGCGGCGGAGGCCATCGAGGGCTTGCTGCACGTGGCCCGGGAGCACGCAGGCACCTACCGCTGTGAAGCCACCAATTCTCGAGGCTCTGCGGCCAAAACTGTGGCCATCACGGTGGAATGTGAGCGGGGGCAGCAAGGGGCAAGGGAGGGTATGTTTGGGCAACTCGGGTCTGACTTTCAGTCCTTGCGTGACTCTCTGCTCCCCAGATGGCCCCAGTTTTGAGGAGCTGAGCTGCCCCAGCAATTGGACGTGGGTGGAAGGATCTGGACGGCTGTTTTCTTGTGAGGTTGATGGGAAGCCGCAGCCACGGGTGGAGTGCGTTGGCTCCAGGGGCACCACCGAGAGGGTGCTGCTGCCGCTGGCACCCCCAGACCCTAGTCCCAGAGCTCCCAGCATCCCTAGTGAACCTGCCTCTGGTATCTACACCTGCAATGCCACCAACCAGCACGGCTCCATGGTCAAGATGGTGGCCGTGAGCGTGGAGTGTGAGCGGGGCCCAGGCGGGTGGGAGGAGGGTGTGCCCCGACGTGGTCCCTCCCTGACGCCCCCGTGGCTGCTTTGCAGCGCCTCCGAAAATGGATGAGTCCACCTGCCCGAGTCACCAGACGTGGCTGGAAGGGGCCGAGGCTGTCGGGCCAGCCTGCGCTGCCCTGGGTCGCCCCTCCCCACAAGTGAGCTGCTCCCGGGAGGGTGGCCCCTGGCCTCAGCGGATACACGTGTCCCGACAGGATGCGGGCACCTACCTCTGCTTAGCCACCAATGCGCACGGCACTGACACCCGGACCATCACCGTGGGCGTGGAATGTGAGTGGGGGCAGCACCAGAGAGAGGGCCCTCAGTTCCCAGACAGGGACTTGCACAGGGAGTTTAAGGGCACCTCCCCCCAGTCCCACTCTCGGGGACAAGGGAAGAGACGCAGAGCTGAGAGCAATGAAAACTCTAGGGAACAGGAGCCTGGCCCCCCTCAAGTCCTGGGTTCCTACCTCCTTCCATTCAATGAAGCAGTACTGACTACAGCCAGACTGTAGGGCAGTGGTTCTCAACCTCCTGGCCCTTTAAATACAGTTCCTCATGTTGTGACCCAACCATAAAATTATTTTCGGTGCTACTTCATAACTGTAATGTTGCTACTGTTATGAATCGTAATGTAAATATCTGATATGCCGGATGGTCTTAGGCGACCCCTGTGAAAGGGTCGTTTGACCGCCAAAGGGGTCGCGACCCACAGGTTGAGAACCGCTGCTGTAGGGGGAGGGGGCTCTGATAGGAGGCAGGATCCGCACCTGTGCATCCGAGCAGGGGTGGTGTCAGACTGTGGTGGGTTGAAGCAGGGGACTTGGTCATCCTCAGGGCTGGCGCTGAGCCCCAGTCCAACCTCCTGTCCCCTGCAGACCGACCAGTGGTGGCCGAGCTGGCCGCCTCGCCTCCAGGAGGTGTGCGGCCAGGTGGGAACTTCACGTTGACCTGCCGCGCGGAGGCCTGGCCCCCCGCCCAGATCAGCTGGCGCGCCCCCCCGGGGGCGCTCAACATCGGCCTGTCCAGCAACAACAGCACACTGAGCGTGGCAGGCGCCCTGGGTAGCCACGGAGGAGAGTACGAGTGCGCGGCCACCAATGCGCACGGGCGCCACGCGCGGCGCATCACCGTGCGTGTTACTGGTAAGTGGTACCTGCGGGGGCGTGGCCTGAGCCTCGGGACACCTGACCTCCCTCTCAATCCCCACGGATGAGATTGGAGGAGGCCAGGGTAGAAGTCACGGGCAACCTTTCGTGTGAGGCCCTAATGGCTGGTTGGGGGTGTGAGGTGGAGGGAGAGGGAGCTGAACGAACTTCATGGGGAGGAGCCCTCCAGGGCTGTGACTGCTGTGGGGAGGGACTTAGTAACTTGGGGGGAGGTTTTCTGCCTGGTGGAGACTTGGTCCAATGCACCCTCCACTGTGTGGCTGTACAGAAGAGGATTTGGAGAGGGACCAAGGGCAGGGGATGGGAGTGGGGGCCATAACCAGATCCCTTCCCCCACTTGGTCTCACTCTGAGACTTGGTTCTTTCTGAGATAGAGGAATGACACGGTCCCCCCCACCCCACCCTCATCGTTTTGGGGGTGAGGAGAGTTGATTTCTGGGTCTCTCTGCTCAGCCAGAGGCTTATAACGCCATGTGCTGGGTGGCATGTGAAACGGATCATGGGTCGCACCAGCACTGGGGATGGCTCAGGCTTGGCATCTCGTCAGGGTGGGGGGACTCCCAAGCTCGTCCACCCTCTTTGAGGGGCTCCACCCCGCAGGTCCGTGGCTGTGGGTCGCCGTGGGCGGTGCCCTGGGGGGCGCAGCGCTGCTGGCCGCAGGGGCTGGCCTGGCCTTCTACGTGCAGTCCACCGCCTGCAAGAAGGGCGAGTATAACGTGCAGGAGGCCGAGAGCTCGGGCGAGGCTGTCTGTCTCAACGGTGCGGGTGGTGGCACAGGTGGAAATGACAGCGCCCAAGGTGGAACGGAACCTGATGGTACCGCAGAGACGCCTGCGGGGGGCGAGGTCTTCTCCATCCAGCTGACATCAGCGTGAGCCCACTACCCTCTCCCCGCAGGCCGGGGGATGCCCCCCAGACACATACGGGGGCTTATTTATTGTTCTATTTATTCATTTATTTATGTATTCAACTCCAGGATGTCACCCCCATTTTCTAACCCTCCCAATAAAGTTTTTATAAAGGACTCTGGGTCTGTGTGGGTGGTCTCCGTGATGTGGAAGCAGCCAGAGGTTCATAAAACTGTTTTGATTTTGAGGGCCTACTGTGTTGAGCGCAGTTTAAGACATCTTTGCATAGTGTGACCTGGAACTTATCTCCATTGCCCATTTCCTGTTCTCACTGGACCCCTGAGCCAGGCTGGGGACCACACTCCTTCCCTCTCCCTGCTGCTTATTCCTTGGCCTAGAATTGCCCTCCAATTGAGCTAACTCTTGGGGGTGGGAACTAGGGGCTTCCCAGGCCTGGTTCCAGACGGAGCTGAGGCTGCCTTCCCACGACGGATGGAGCCTCCCTCCCAGGGGTCTGGGCGTGGGGACCCTGCCCCGAGGCCTCGTCTGGATAGTAAAGGAAAGCAGTGGCTGCAGCTATGGTGTCAGCCCCCAGGATGTCCCTGCCCCACTCTCAATGCTGCCTTCATTCAGTGCCTCAGTTTACCCCCAACCTGCCTTTGGATTTGGCCCATCATGGTTCAGTATAGACACACAGGGTATCAGCCACAACCCCACAGCACACCACTGTGCCCCTCACTCCCCACAGAATAAGGAGAGAACAGCTGCCCCCCCCCCCC